TGTTCAATTGCAATTTTGATTTAGGTTTTTTTATGTTTGTTGGAGTTGATTTTTTATTGTATTATTGTAATTACTTCAAGTTTCAGTTTTGATTGTTATTGTTTTAAGCTATGAATTATCATAATTGTGGTTTAATGGTGTACGTAAGCTGCGATTTCTAATGCTTTTGTAAGAATTTGTTGATTCTCGAAATCCTTGCTCTAAATTTGTTGATTTTTTTTTTGTCAATTAATTAGTTGCTTCATGTTAGTATTGCTATCTCTACTGCAAGTTTTTGATATAGGTTCGTTGTTCGACTATTGATTACTTGCTAGGAATGAATGCATTTTATGTTATGTGTATGGAATATTTCAAGCATTATCCCAAACTTTAACCCCACTGTGATCATACACTAAAGTACGGTGGCGTCCAAAGGGAAAGAAGATAGAGCAAAAGAGTCGCCAACAAGTTTTAGGAACTTGTAAACCGTTCACGAGGTGAAGGTAACACCCCTTAACGATCCAAGAGATCGTTAACTCCAATAGGTCTGGAACCATGACTAGTAGTTCAGGGATGAAGGTACAAATCCAACCTAAAAGAGATTGAACCTGCCCTAATAATAGGCCTCTACTTTATTCTGATCATATTCATGTGCGCTTTCTGACTAACATGCAATCAATAGGTTAGACCTAAACCTGTTTATCTATGTTGGTTGAATATTAATGCACAAATAAATCTATTATTGGCGATCACTTGAATTATAATCAAATTAACCCTAAACAAGATTATTAATTATCTTATATAAGCGTGATTACAAGTACCAATTCCCTTTAAACGTGCATAAAAGGCGTGATCAAGCAATAACAATAAAATATAATCAAGCAACATAATAATAATAATAATAATAATAATAATAATAATAATAATTATTATTATTATTATTATAACAATTATAAAAATAATCATGTTAAATCATAATAATAGCAATATCCTAGGCATGATACTAACAAGATTAATAACAAACCCTAACATGTTACTAAGCAATAAAGATCAAAGCTAGCCCTAACATGACACTAGCATTAATATTAGGAAGAGAAATAGGAAGCATCGCAGGAAACACAATTGTCATATTTGATATTAGAAATTACCCTAAACATGATACTAGAAAAATCAAAACGCCCTAACATGACACTAGGAATCATAATAACAACCTAAGCATGATTTCTATATCATAATATCAATAAATCAATTAAAAGCACTTACTTGGATGCCTCGTACCTCTTTCTAATAACAAAATACACACGTTAGTAACTTCAAGGAAAATAATAAACAATAATTAAATTAAATAATAATTGAAAGAGAGATTTGGGACCAAACCCTCAGAAATTAAAACCTTTCACGTCTAGGGCGAAGACAACTTCGAATAATGCTAGGTGTATCTAGGTCTTGTGAATGCGAAATTTTGTAAGAAAGGTAGGTTTAGAAAAGAGAGAGAGAGAAGCTTTAGCTTAGAGAAAAGAATTAGAAAACTAGAGAGTTGATGATTGTAGATGAATGAAAACAAAGTTTTTAGGGGGCTATTTATAAAGAAAATCAGCCAAAAAGATAGAAAATCGAACCTGACGCGAAAAAACGAGATTAGCGCCAGACGCTGACATTAGCGCCAAACGCTAACGCTAGCGCTAGGCGCCAAGCTTAGCGCCAGGCGCTAATGCTGGCGTTTGGCGCTAATTAAATTTCTGACGCGTTTTCTAAAATCAGATAGAAATCAACCGTACAGGAGGATAAAATCGCATTTTCCTCAAAAACATTCTTTTATTCTGATTAAAACTCTAAAAAATCAACAAAAGTCAATTTATCAATGCTAATTGAATTAGGAATGAAAAGAACCTTCTAGAAGAATCTAGAAGACTAAAACTTAGGAATGATAAATCCGTATTAGGCCCTCCCCTAGATCATTGGGCCGCATATAAGGCTCAAACCGGACCCAGTTTAGTAATTTGGTCATAACTTTTTCAATATTCATCGGAATTGGGCTTATAATATATCGTTGGAAAGCTCTTTTCAAGCCCTATCCAACTACACTACTATTGGACCCATATCATGGACCAATCAAACTGGATTGACTATTTTCTTAAAATAGGTTTTCAAAAGCAGAGAGAAGAGAAAAGAAATTAAAACTATCCGCAACACTAAACTTTCTACACTTTCACTTCATTCGATTATGATTCGACGTGAAAGGTACTCATCACCGGGTTTGGTTTGGGGAGACACAAATGGGTGTCTACATTATGCTATTGATGATTGATTACTAAATCCAATTTATTTACTCGTACTTGCTATTGATGATTAATTTGGTTTATTTTTTATATGTATTTGGCTGAAATTTCTGTTTTCCTAATTAATCTTATACTTCATACTTTAAAGTAAGAGATCTGGTTGAATTTGTGTATGTGTTTAAAATTAGAGATGTTGTTGGCACAACTAGAGGGTGGGGGTGGAGATTGTTCTAGTGGTGGTGGTTGTGGTGTATATATCAGCTGTAAATTGTGTCATATTTTACAGTACTTAGCTTGCTGCCCTTGTTGGTTAAATGCAAGCTTAAGGGTAGTAATTCGTTTTCATTGTTGTTCTCTTTAGTTATTGCTGTGCCAAAATCACTTTTTTGAGTAAAACATGTCTTTGTTGCTGCTACTATTTTTCTTGTTTCTTGACTAGTTTACTCTTCATGATCTGGTTGACAATATTTGTTATTTGATTAACTAGAGATTGATATAACTATTGTTTTGCCATTTATTTTCTGTGTTTCTTGTACATTGGCTCGACTTATGCTTTCTATAAGGAAGAAAAAGCTAAAACAAATACAATTAGTAATTGCAATGGTTATTATTATGTTGATGATGTATTGGATATGGTATATAATTTGCATTGTTACAATAAGGGGGGTTTAAATAAAAGAAGGAAAAGAAACAAAAAATTGTTACGAATGTTAGTATTGAGAGGGCTTTATAGGGAGTGTGATGTGAAATGCAAGAGTGAGCTTTGCGTTAATAGAAGAACTTTCAATATTATTTGTGAGATGCTTAGAGACATTGGGGGTTTGAGTGGAACAAAAAACATGTCGCTTCAAGAGATAGAAGCCATGTTTTTATACACGTTGGCTCATCATAAGAAGAATAGGTCTATTGGACAATGCTTCTTTAGAAATGGAGAAACCGTAAGCCGACAATTTCACCTTTGTCTAAGGGCTTTTCTCAAGTTGCATGAAGTACTACATTACAATCCCCACCAATATCAGATGATTGTGCAGATGTAAGGTTGGAATCCTTCAAGGTATTGGTATTTTCAAAGCCCCTAAATTTTGCTAGGATTTTCTTATTTTTGCTTGTTTGGAAGTAATATTTTTTCCTATTTTTGTAGAATTGTTTAGGGGCATTAGATGGGACTTACATTAATGTAAATATGCCTTCACAAGAACGACCAAAGTATAGAACAGGAAAATGAACGATTGCTATGAATATATTGGGTGTTTATGCACCTAATATGAAATTTATTTATGTTCTTCCTGGTTGGGAAGGTTCACCCCATGATATGCGTGTACTTTGAAATGCTCTTTCTAGACCAAACGATTTTACGGTACCTCGAGGTAAGTGAAGGTCTTTTTTTGTGAGTTTATATGTTTTGTTTGTTTTTGTGAGGTAAGTGAAGGTCTGTTTTTTTTAGGTAATTATTATTTGGCTGATGCGAGGTCTACGAATTGTGAGGGTTTTCTTGCTCCATATAGAGGTCAAAGATACCATTTACAAGAATGGACGGATCGACAACCCGAAAGTGCCGAGGAATTCTATAACATGAAACATGCTAGGGCGCGACAAGTGATTATTGCATACGTAAAGGATGATGGAGTATATTTAGAAGTCCTTCATTTTTCCCTATTTGAACTCATGGACGTGTCATGATGGCTTGTTTATTATTGCATAATCTAATTAGAAAATTCATGCCTACGGATGATATTAAAGAAGATGAATTGAGTGAATTCGATGATGATTCCGAGAGTGATTCTGATGATGAGAAGGAATTTATTACAAGTGTTGCTACTTCATATCATTGGACCAATTTTAGAAACACATTAGCCCAAGATATGTTTAACGATTGGAGGGCGAGAGGTAGACTTGGTCAATAAAACAAAAAGTATGGTGTGCCTTAAAATATGTTATGTTCAATTTTGTCTAATATGCTGTATAATCTGTTACGTATGATATGTACTATTATAATCAGCCTTGTAATTTGTTATGTTCAGTTCTAATATGCTTTTTAATCGGCAATTTTTCATATGGAGGCTAGTCAAGCTAAGGGTGAGGCAAGCAACCGAGGCAGAGGTAAAAATAAAAGGTATTGGACGTATTAAGAAGATGTGATTCTAATAAGATATTTGCATGAGTTGAGTTGCGATCCGAAGTGGAAGTGTGAAAATGGGTTTAAGAATGGTTACAAGAATAAGTTGGAAGAGATGATTAATGGTGTACTTCCTAATTGCGGCTTGAGAGTGGTTCCCCACAATGAGTCAAGGATCAAGCATTGGTCATAGAAATATAGTGAATTGGCGGAAATGTTCTCCGCCTTAGGATTTGGATGGGGATGCTGAGAAGAAGATTCTACAAGTAGATAAGTCGGTGTTCGACGGATGGGTAAAGGTATGAACTGCAATTTTTTGGTTATGTTATCACTACTAGAAAAATATTCTTTAGTATCAGAAAATTTAGTATCGGTAAATATTTTTGATACTAAAAGATTTATTAGTATCGGATAATTTTTTTCTGACACTATTTCTTGGGCTTTAACTCAATCTTAATATTAGACTTTACTATAGTGTCGGAAATTTTTTTATCTGATACTAATGACATAATAGTATCAGAAATATTCCGACACTAATTGATTTTTTACTATCAAAATTAACTCGGTTACAAATAGACACCTATAGTTACAAATTATTTCGATACTAAAGCCCATTTGTACATTTAATGAAAATTTTACAAACTTAGCCGGACGGTACATAAAAATTTTAGGGGAAATTTAAAACATTTCATATTTATAATTGAATTCTCCAGAATTTAAACCCTAAACCTACATTTTGGTTTATCTTCTCCCTTCTCTCTCCTATTGCGATTTGGGTTTGGGTTCGTCTGGTTCATGGGTTAGGGTTCGTCTGGTTCGTGGGTTGTTTGGGTTCGTCTGGTTAGTGGGTTTAGGTTCGTGGATTTGGGTTCTTCTGGTTCGTGGGGGTGGTTTTAGGGGTTTCAGATCTAGTTTGTGGGAGGTGGCGTGAGTTTCGTGGGGATGGGCCGGGTCTTCGTGGTTGGTGGATCTGATTTCATGGGTAGTTGTGGGTTTGGTTTCGTGGGAGTGGCGTGGGTGATTTCGTGGTGGTGGCTTAATTGGGATTAATTCAATTTGTGGGTTTCGTGGGTGGTCTAGGTGGTGTCGAGTTTTGTGGTGGTGGGGGATTAATTCAATTCGTGGTGGTGGTGGTCCGATTGGGGTTTTCGTGGTTTTGGTGGTTGTTTCCGGTGGGTTCTGGGTTTTCGGTGGTGGTAAATTACTTGTTATTGCTAGAAATGTTAATACTTGTTGTTTTTGCTGTTTTAAGCTTCAAATTTGCTGCAGGTTGATTGAATCTATGAAAAAGACGTGTAGTTTTTGCTAAGTATATTTTGGGGCCAGTGCTAAGTCAAATTCTATGTTCATTCTAAAAGTTAAAGGTGTGTTAGACTTAATTAATAATTTCTATTATCTATTGGTTTGCTTCAAACTTCAATGTTTTGTTACTTAGTTATCTCCTTATTTCATGTATCTGTTTTTTATGGAAATTTTGGTGCAGTTGTTTGATTATTATTGAAGAAAATAGGGGAGGGGATCAAATGGGTTTACTTTAAGGAGGTAGAGCGGGAGGAAAGTGCTCAATCAAGAAGAGAAGAACGAACAACAAGTGGAACAACCTTACATATGAAGGTATATGATATGACCCCTGTTAATTAATTTATGTTGGTTAAGACTTGGTATTAAGGTATACTACATTGCTTATCCATCTTATTTAATGTATTTTGTTTGATATATCTTAAAGTATTCATTTAATTGTGTTTTTTTTTTTGTTTGGAGAAAATATAATTGGGTACTGGGTTGAAGTTACGAGTTTAGAGACTTTCGATTGTGATATTGTTGTTATGCCTTTGAATTACTTTCTTGTAATGTACTTAGATAACATATATGTGTTGTTAAATGGTAAACATGGTTTGAGATTTGCACGTTTGTAATTGTTTGACCTCTTTGTGAAGTGTAATCTAGCTCTAAATCACTTTTAAAAGGATACAAGATAATTTAATTAAATGACCCTTGATGGTATTTGGGTAGTTCTTGTGTTTGATTCACTCATCATTTGTTACATGTCATAAGGAATTTAATCGTTCATCATTACATTTTGGCTTTGAGAGCTAGTCAATCTTGAAGCTTATGCTCTGTTTATTTGATAACATGTATAATTTGGTTTCTGTACTTGTGAATCCTTATTTACTTAATAAAATGCTTCAAAGAAAGCATGTGTGGCTGGGTTGTGTAAAGCTTTATGTTCTGTAATTGACTAGTACATTAGTTGTACAGCTTTGCATGTGATTGGATCTGTTCATTTTGTTTCCTTTAGATTGGGTTTGTGTTTACTCTTAGTGATGTTGTGGAGGGGGTTTTATTGTTCTAGTGAACTTGGAAATCTACTAATCTTATCTTGAGTGAGGTATGGTTGTGTAGATATGAAAGGTGTGGGTTTCAATTGGTATCAACTTTGCAGCTTATGAATTATAAAATATAGAAAAGGTGTGAACAATTTAGTTAAATTAGTAGATTCATTTTGCTCACCTTTGGACAACCATTATCGAGTGATAAAATGTATGGGTATTACTTTATGCTTTCACTGCATGATCTATGTATGTTAATTATGAAGTATGTTATTGGGTGCTCTTACAAGCAATGCCTTTTCTTTTATCTATGAATAGATTAAACTTTGTAATGGTCTTGATTGTCCAAGCTTGAAGATTCTTGATGCCAGTTTGAACTGAGACAACTGTATATTTTAAATAGAGGTGGCCTGGTGAAAGTGGTGATAATGCATAGTCCATTTTTGTTTAAAAAGATGTGAAGTGCACTTTGTATTATAAGCAGGCATACATTAGATTTTTGTACTATTAACTATATTATGAGACAATATGAATAGAAATTTAATATAAATTCTTTTGTACAAGTATTTTAATTATGTATTTAATTTTGAATCATATATAAATTAGTTGGACAGGGTTCTTTAGTTAATACAAAGACATTGATGCTAAAGAGTGTCTAATATTTGAACGTTCCAATACTAGAGCACTTTTGTTATGTTGAAGCCTATCTTTAGTATCGGAAATTTCCGATACTAAAGGGAACTTTTGAAGCTAGGAAAAACTATTGTAACTGTAATTACAGATACTATAGTGATTCTTTAGTATCGGAAACCAAGTTGATACTAAAGATCTAACTCTTTTGTATCGGAATTTCTGTTACTAATTATCTGATACTAGTTATATTTCCGATACTAAAGGTACCCCTTTTTAGTATCGGATTGAAGAACGGATACCAACACATTAGCCACGGAGGTATTAGTATCCGTTTAGTGTCGGAAATTATTTCCGATACTAATGACCTTTGGTATCGGAAAACAAGCTTTTAGTATCGATTAATTTCTGATACTAAAGACCGATTTTCTAGTAGTGTATGATGCAATTTTTTGTTCTGTTCCGATGCAATTTTTTTTTTGTCCTCTGCTTTTGTATTATTTGCTCTTGTTTTGCTGTTGCCCCCTCCCTCATGCTGCTCCTCTACTTCTGCCTTCCTTTTGCTGCTACCTTGCTGCTTCCCCCTTCCCTTCTGCTATTCCCCTGCTGCTGCCCCTTTCCTTTCTGTTGCTTCCCTGCTGGTTATTAAACATTCTTTTTCCTTTCAATTTTTCTCCCTGACTCAGATTTAGGCTACTGTCACAAAGAGGAAAGTAAAGGCAACTTTAAGTTCAGTTACATGAGTTTGAATTTCATGACTGTCTTTATTCTAAATTAGAACTTCTAAAGCTGGTTATTAAGGATTGAATTTATACTATCAGTAGCAGGAGGAGATAGGTTAGGTGCATAAAGTCGAGGAACTACTAAACTAGGAAGTATTGTGGATTTTTTTTCTTAAGAAATTCTGATTTCTGGAGCTCCCTCTCTTTGGAGACATCTCTCAACTAGCTTTCACAATGTGTAGTTAACTAAGCCTCAGCATTATATCAACATTTGTTTATACTTCTTTTGGTGAAATGGAATGGTATTTTTGCTGCTTTGGAAAATATAACTATCTCATGTGGTCCTTTAGGATAAAGTCAGTAATTTAGCAAGGATACGAGATACAGAATTTGTTTATTATTTTTATAGCATTTATGAAATGCTTCCCCAACATTGGTTTATTATTTTTACAACATTTATATTGTACAGGTATGAGATACAGAATTTGCTATTTTTATAGCAATTTTTGTCTTTTGCGAGCAAGAGCCTCAAAACTATTTGCTATGCAGGCATTGATGCATCCATTTTCTTTGTAACTTGGAATGCATATTCACAGCTATATTGGTTTATTTGATTCTATGAAGAAGTTTCAGGGTATTGTGAGTATGGTAGATTGGTAGCTATTTGTTCCTGGATTATCGACTTATTTGGCCATATAATCCTTAAAATTTTGAACTCCATATATCCTTACAATGTTTACGAGTGATTCACATTACTAGTGTGGCAGTGTGGCAATGTGGGTGCTGCTTCAGGCCCTCAACTGTGCAATTCTGATACTTGGAAAGGAAATCTTGTTTTTGTTTATTGAAAGTACATGGTCACCATAAATGGTCATTATTTACACTTGCAAGTTGTGTTTGGTCTTCTATTTTTGACATAAATTGAGGCTTGAGTGGAGTATTATGGGAATAGCATAAAGCTGCTCAAATGCTTGATTATAGCAGCCTAATAATCTTTTTGGTATGCTACTATGCTTCTCAATCTTTGTTACAGAACACCAGACAGCCAGACAAAAAGCTATGGTTTTGATAAAATAGAACAACCTTCTAGTTTATGAGCTGCTATCTATGAACTACTGTCTTTTATGGACTGTCATCCTTTTTCTGTCTAATTCTGCCTAGTGAATTAATCTTGTTGTATTCTCTCTTATATGGAAGATTCATAAGAAAGCTAAGGGGTTGTTTGGAGTTTCATTCATTAATTATGACCCTCTAGCAGAAATTTATGCAAAATACAAAGCTACTTTTGGGGAATAAATTTCAAGCGTTAATCCCCTAGCTTAAACCTCACTGTGATCATACACTAAAGTACGGTGACGTTCAAAGGGAAAGAAGATAGAGCAAAAGAGTCGCCAACAAGTTTTAGGAACTTGTAAACCGTTCACAGGGTGAAGGTTACACCCCTTAACGATCCAAGAGATCGTCAACTCCATAAGGTCTAGAACCAAATAAGGGTTCGGGGATGAAAGTACAAATTCAACCTAAAATAGATTGAACCTGCCCTAATAATAGGCCTCTACTTTATTCATATCGTATTAATCCTAAACCTGTTTATCTATTTTGGTTGAATATTAATGCACAAATAAAACTATTATTGGCGATCACTTGAATTATAATCACAATTAATCCTAAATAAGATTATTAATTATCTTATTAAGCGTGATTATAAGTATTAATTCCCTGTAAACATGCAATAAAAGGCAAGATCAAACAATATAAATAAATATCATCAAGCAATATAATAATAATAATCATAATAACCATAATAATAATCGTCATATTAAAATAATCATCATAAAATTATAATAATATTATTCATAATCATCATAAATTATAACAATTATAATCATGATCATGTTAATATTAAAGCATAATAACAATAAGAAGATTCTAGACATGATACTAACAAGATTAATAACAAACCCCAGCTTGTCACTAAGCAATAAAAATCAAATCTTTAACCCTAACATAATACTAACAATCATAAATATTAGGAAGAACATAAGAAACATCGTAACAATCATATTTAATATTAAATTTACCTTAGACATGATTAAGAATACCATAATAACAATATAAACATTATTTCTACATCATAATATTAATTAAAATTATTAAAATACTTACTTTGATGCTTGTACCTCTTTCTAATGACAAAATTCACATGTTAGTAACTTCAAAGAAAATAATCAAAACAAACAATTAAATTAAATAATTAAAAGAGAGATTTGGGACCAAACCCTTAGAAATTAAACCTTTCACGTCTAGGGCGAAGACAACTTCGAATATGACTAGGTGTTTCTAGATCTAATAAATGCGGAATTTTGTATGTAAAAACAAGGTTTGAAAAAGAAAGAGAAAGATGAATTGATTAAGGAAATCTTGATGAGAATTAGCGAATGAAAACTGATTGTAGGTGAATATAATTGAAAACTGATTGTTGATGAATGAAAACGGAGTTTTTACGTTGTTATTTATATAGAAAATCAGCCAAAAAGAAAAAATATCAAAACAGAGCACTTGGCGCACGTGAAACAGAGCTGGCGCCAACCTTGGCTAATTGGCGTCAGACGCCAACACTAGCGCCAGGCGCCAGGCCTAGCTCCAAGCGCCAATGCCTGGTGTCAGGTGCCAGACCTGTTTTTGACGCATTTTCGAAAATCAGATAAGTTTTGCCGTACTGGAGGATGAAATGGTATCTTTTCCTCGAAAAGTCAACAAAAGTCAATTTATCAATGCTAATTGAATTAGGAATGAAAAGAACCTTTTAGAAGAATCTAGAAGACTAAAACCATTCCTAATTGCATTAGGAGTGATAAATCATATTAGGCCCTCCTCTAGATCATTGGGCCGCACATAAAGCTCAAATCGGGCCCATTTTGGTAAATTGGCCATAATTTCCTCATTATTCATCGGAATTGGGTTTATAATATATCGTTGGAAAGGTCTTTGTAAGCCTCATCCAACTACACTACTATTGGACCCATATCATGGACCAACCAAACTGGATTGATTGTTTTCCTAAAATAAGTTTTCAAAAACAAAGAAAAGAGGAAAGAATTTAAAACTATCCGCAACACTAAACTTTCCACACTTTCGCTTCATTCGATTATGATTCGACGTGAAAGGTACTCATCACTGGGTTTGGTTTTGGGGAGACACAAATAGGTGTCTACAAAAGCCCCCACTTTGACTGAGTTTGGAAAAACGTGAGTTTCGAAAAACTAAAGCCAAAGTATCGATAGGGACGGAGAATGATTCAGAATGTTCTGCGGTCCTAAATCACTCTTGTAACGCCGATACCTGCAAACTAGCGTTAGTTAAACAGATAAAAGAGTTAAGAAACGAGTATCTTGCACCGTCGAGCACACTTCTCTGAAAGTAACCGATTGTTTTGATGACGCCCTGCAAGCTAGAGAATGTCATCCCGCTTGAAAACTGCTGCGCCTGTAACTGCTTCCGAATTAGAAGATTGCTTCGCCTGAAACGATCCTCCTCCGCTTTGATAATATTCCACATCCAAGGGAATACTATCGAAGACTGCTTCACTTGAAACAATCTTCAGTTGTTTGTGACAACTCTCCACAATCTAGGGAACGCCACCTTGCTGTTTCGATGTTCACTCGTCTCTGAAAAAAGAGTTTTTTTTTTATATAATCTTCTGAATGACGTGTCCACGCATCTTTGAACGAAGAGCTTGATAATAGGATGCCCACGCGTCTCTGAGCGAAAGAGCTTGTAAATAGGAGATCTTTGATGATATGTCCACGCGTCTCTGAACAAAGAGCTTTTGATGATATGGTTCACGCGTCTCTGAACAATAAAGCTTTGATAGAAATGTCCACGCGTCTCTGAACAAAAGAGCTTGAATGATATGCCCACGCGTCTCTGGAGCAAAGAGCTTTGAAAATGTTCATGCATCTCTGAACAAAAGAGCTTGAATAATATGCCCACGCGTCTCTGGAGCAAAGAGCTTTGATGGAAATGTTCACGCGTCTCTGAACAAAAGAGCTTGAATAATATGCCCACGCGTCTCTGGACAATAGAGCTTCGGTACTTGAACGTTTGTTGCGATAATATTCTGAAGAAAAATTTTCGAAGACCAACGTTTGTCGATCTCTAAAGCTCGCATGAACTTTGCTTCTGCTAAAACCCGTACGTCGGTGTTTCCGTGATGAGCCAATTCTTAGGCTCTTTAAGCTAAGTGAGACGAACTTTCATCAGGTTAACCACTTATTGTGATTGTAATCAAACTGACTACTTAATCATGTCAAATTGCTTATAGGGGCTAACTGGCGTACCAAGGAACCTGAAATTGCTATATGAGGTCGAAATCACCTTTCTGAAAGGCTTCGAGCTCTGTCGCTGCTGAAATATCTCTGGCGCCAAGAATTGACTCTGTCGCCGAACGTTGTGATAGGGTCTTCCCTATTCTGCTGCACCTGTATTTATTTTTTACTATAGAACTTTGTCAATCTCTTTAATCATCTTAGGGTTGACCTAAGGTTTTGCATTGCTTGACTCTTTGACTTGACACGACTCAAGGCATAAACTTGACTCGATATGATTGACTGACTCGAGGTTGACTCGACTCGAAGTGTAATGACACATGTGTGCATAGTGTTGACTCAACATGACTCAATGTGAACATGACTTGTGTGTGCATTGTAATGTGATTATGCGACTCGAAAATGCAAAAAAGCAAAATTTTTCCGTCATTTTTGTGGAGGGTACCGACTTTCTCCCGAAAAAGAAAAACGCGAAAAAAAGAAGCGAAGTTTTTGAAGTTTTGAAGATGCATGTTGAATGAGCTTAGTCAAATGTTTTTTGATACTATCTCTCAAGGTGCAAGGATTAATCCATCCTAGGCTATCTCAATGGTTGACTCAATGATGAAAGTAACTTAGGCACGGAGGCTAAGCACTTCATACTTCGTGATGCAATAACGATTATGATTGATGAGTGATGTCGATATGACAAGGCATGCTTCAACGTTGTGATTTCATGACAAAGGGTTCCTAAGGGAAATATATTTGGTCATGTATGTGTGATGTGTGTGATAGTGACACTAAAGCTAGGCCGCAAGAGCTAAGTGTGTGGAAAAATATTATTTGTTAAAAGAGTCAAATGGTGGTGACTCTTAGGCTAGGTAAGCTAATGATGTAGGGATCAAGCCCCCAAGTCTAGCTCTAAATGAATAGGGATGAGCATTGGAGATCCCTTGATATGATCATGGTGTAAGTGTGTGAATGTGAATATGAATGCATATTTATTACGGCCGCACCTCGATGTGAGGTTGCCTACGTCTCCGTTAGGAATCAAGCCGAACGTAGCTCTAGCCGAACCTCGCACAAGTGTGTATACCTCAAAAAGGTATTTTAAGGGTTGTAACGTGGCTAGGCTAAAGGTTATAGAAGAAGGGGA